TTGTGCGGCGAGGTCCCTCGCACCACCAAGGGGCGGACTCGCCTGAGTCGCTGGCTTTGCGTGTGCCTGACGCGCCTCGTGCGACGCAGCCAGAGCATTGTCGGTGGGACTAGATGCACGCGCGCCGAGCGTGTTGAGGTGCTGGCGCGCTTTGGGGCCCGAGTGCGCGTGCGTGATCTGGCGCAGGACAAAGACCGGATCGTGAGCAGCGACGTCGTCCGAAGCACCGAGCAGAGCGGCGGCATCGATGGAGCGGCGCTTGCCGTCCACGGATCGACGATTGCCAATGCCGAGCTTGAAAGCGGGCGGCGATGGGTACGCGTCGAGCACCTTGCTTGTGGTCGCGAGCGCACGCTCGCCGTCAGCGGCCTGAACTGCCAGACCATACTTGACATGAAGCTTGCTCTTGCGTCTCGAGGGGCGGTCCTCGACGTCGTCGCCGCCCTCGACGACGCCCTCAGCGATGCCGAATCGGTCAAGGCCCTCCTCGACCACCTCAGCCACAGTTGTGTTGCGAGGAAAGGTGAGGATCTTTTCGCGAAATCGAGGCTGCGAGGCTGTCTCTGCTGCGCCTTCGGGGCGACCCGACAGCCTCTCGCGCAGCGTGGCCGAGGGGATGAGTGCATTCGACTGCGGATCAAACACGATGCCGTCCGGTAGGTCGGTGGCGTAGATGATGAGACGCAGAGCAAAGCGTGCGGTCGGACTCTGGACGGTCTCGCCTGCCTCGCCGGTGAGCACGGACGAATGACTGCTTCGCGCGCCGTCCTGGCCATCGAGGCTGAGCGAGGTAACGTTGCTGACGTCCTGCGAGGTGGAGAGATCCGACACGTTGACCGAGGGCGCAACCGACTCGTCGATGTTGCGGCCGCCGCCGAGGTCGACGTAGCCCTGCAGCCGGTCGCGCCTGCTGATGTAGAACTTGACGGCGTGGTCGTCGCTAAAGTCGTTGCCAAGGCGCGCGATGGCGGGATGGGTGCTGAGGTTGGACGAGATGGACGAGATGGAGCCGACGCTGGAGCGCTTGACGCTGGGCACGGTCACCTGGCCCTGCTGCAGGATCTCGGTGAGCGTGTTGAAGAGGCGGAGCGGATGCTCGTCGTCGTCGAGCGGGCGCTCGTCTCCTTCGAGACGCTTGATGGTCAAGACGTACTTGTGCGTATCGTCGGGGTTGACTCCGAAGCGTTGGAGTGCCTGGCGCTGCAGATCCATGGAGCGGGTGCTGTCGTTGAGCAAGACGGTCTTGAAGGTGGAGTCCGAATCGACACCTTCGCCCGCAAAGACGCGAAGCACACTGAGCATAGGCGTGGATCCGGACGGGCCGATCAAGGAACCGGGTCGTTGGTGCATGCGGCGCTTGTCGTCGCTTGCGCTCGAGTTTGCGATGGAAGACGTGTCGAAGCTGGCGTTTTGCGGGGAGAGGAACTGTCTCTGGTACGCCTCCTGCGTGGCGCGGTCGCGCTCCTGGACGGCACGACCCATGCCGATGCTCTGTCCGGGCTGGAGGCCTGCATTGGCGGCTTGGACGACCGGGTTGACGGGCGCGGATGCTGCGGCGGGACTGGAGCGGCCGCGCATGTAGCTGTTCTGGCTGTCCTCGGAGCTGATTCCGACCATGGAGTCGCGCTCGTCAAAGTTGGCGCTCTTGCGATCCTTCTTGTCCTTTCTGGAGAAGAGGCTGAATACGCCGGATCGCTTCTTGGCTTGCTTGTCGTCGTTGCTGGTGTCGAGGCTGTCGTTGGACTTGCTGGTGCGATTGCTCTTGCGCTTGTCCTTTTCCAAGGCTGCGGACGAGTCTGGGCCGATGATGGTGGAGCTTGCGCTGGCGTCGGAGCTGGCGCGCTCGCGCTGAATCTGGGAGGGGAGGAAGCCGTTGCTGCTCGAGGTGCTGTTGCGGCTCATGGAGGTGGAGGTAGGGCGGGCGCCGGCGTCGGAGGCCGAGAGGCTCGAGACACTCGAGATGGAGCGTTCTGCCGAGGTGGTGCGCATGTGCTCTCCGGGTACGCGAGAGGGCTGGAGGGAGCCGTAGCTCGGACCGGCCGTCTGTTGCTGCTGCTGCTGCTGCTGCTGCTG